ACCCATTCCACAGGCGAGGGGCAAGTGCAGGGCTCGGCCAGAACCAGCCTGGCCTGGGGGTCTCGTGGATCCAGAGGCTCCTGTCACAGGAGAGCTTAGAACTGGAAACAGCATCTGGCAGTCAGGGCCCCAGGGCTATAGGTGCATTCTCTACCTCAAGTTCAAGGTCACACCCTGGAGAACCGAGACCCAAGGGGAAACCGCTCTCACTTATTCTACTCACACTCAGCATCTGTCTAGTCCGGGTCCTGACCCCGCCCCCAGCTGCCAGCGAGGCAGGCACAGAGGGTCTCAGCCTGCGCCCACACGGTCCTCGAGGCACTAGTGCTGGGTCCTGGGCAGAAGCACGGGCTCCGCACTCTGCCCACCTGGACCCCACACGCCTCCTCCAAGGCCCCCGCGGGACAGGCGCCTCTCCGAGCTCGACTTCCCAGCAGCTGCCTGTGCGGACACCACAGGAGCAGAGGCCATGACGGGGGGAGCTCGGTGCCCGCTGCGCAGATGGCGGAGTTCTCAGTCGGGGTCGGTGTTAGTGTCGTTAATATGAGGGACCAGTGAGACTCCAAGGTAAACCCTGTGCCTGGGTGTCCTGGCCAGAGGCAGGTCCCAGCCCAACACAGCCAGTTTCAGCCCCGTCCTCAGGACTGGCTGCAGCCGTGGACAGACCGGTTCCGGCCACAGCAAGCAGCACCGACAGACAGCACTTCTTCACCCAGAGGAGAGCAGAGAGAAAGCCAGGTTTTATTATCAAACAACTTGAATCCAAATGCCGACTGTTATTTGCAATGTCTGAAGGCACAAAATATGCCTACATTGTATGGACTAGTCCACAGTTATCAATCCAAAGAGCAAAGCATGAAAAAGTGATACATTCTGAGTGGACACAAATCTGAGATGGGTGATCTCTTTTCCTAGAGAACTTGCTTGAAGTCAGTCATTTTCCCTCATGCCAAGGGTAAGAAATGTTTAAAAATAGCATAAACCTGGTGCAGAATCACACTATGAGAGATGTGCACTCTCTCTCTTACACACACACACACACACACACACACACACACACGCACGCACGCACCACGTGAGTCATCTCTCTCCTCACCCTGAAACCAAGAAAACAGCCATGGTATTCCCTAGAAGGCAGGCCGTCTCGGAGGAAACCCATGTGGGTGAGAGATACGGCAGTGAGACCACGATTTGATTAAAAAAATAGATGAAACACTGACCATCGGGCAGGCCCCCGTGCTGCTGGAAAGGCGTGGAGCTGCTCCTCCGGCTAAGCCGGGCAGGCCCCCGGCATCCAGCGTGCGCCGCTCCCTCCTACGCTCTGATGCTCTGATGGGAGACAGGCCAGCGACCACCTGGAAGCACTGGTGTCAGGCCCTGAGCATCGGAGACCAACAGCCTGACTATGAACCCCCTCCAGGCCGCTCTCCGCTGCATGTGATGCTGAAGCATCCATTGTATATGAAAACTGCTGTTTGACATTTTAACCCTGCATTCTGGCTTCTGTAGATGCTTGCTGGCTTAAGTAATAAGGAAAATAAGATTACTCCCATTTCAGAGAGGCCATTAAACCTTCCCCAGACGAAGTTACCAGTGCTGGCACCGGGCCAAGCCTTTGGTTGAGGTCCCAAAGCCCCAGCACATAGGGGCTCTTTACGAACTTGCAAAGGGGACAGGAAAGCACCATATTTGGGAGACAAAGAGGGTAAGAAGGTATAAATACAGGAAACTTCCTGTGTGACTTCGCCCAGAATTCTAGAGACATTTTCCTCTGGGCCCGCGCGTAATAATACATGTAACTCCATCTCTCTAAGCGTTGCTTGGTTCTTCTCTGGTTTTCTGTAACAATGAGGCCATTCCTTCCTGCTCTTCTGGTCGCTCGGGACTGGGGAAGAAACCGACCCTCACACATCCATCTGGGGAGGAAGCCTCCAGGCCATAGGAGAGGCATCAGCAGGACTTTGTATTCCTGGCATCTCCGAGTGCTGCTGGGGCGGCCGTCCTCATGGCGGCCGGGGCTGGGTCCGTCCCATCCTGCAGGTCAGCAGAGCAGCTCCTGGTCTGCAGCAGGAGAGGAAGGCCCCACCTAGGTGACAGCTGCTTCTACTTTTCTATGGTCTGATTGCCCAGAAAGGGGAGGAGGGGCGCTGCCAGGCCTCCAGCTGGAAGCAGGAAGCAGCAGGCCACTGCCCGCAGGATGGGCCTGGGTCCTGCACTGTGCGCTGGCGGCCGGCCTGCTGGGAGCCGCATCGCTGCTGGAAGGCTCCGGGGTGCGATAAGAGGCGAAGCAGGGCCTGGGCGCACGTGGGCTCCTGCGCAGCAGACTGTGCTCCTGGCGGCAGCCCCAGAGGCAGCCTGGGGTGTGGCTCACCTCCCTGCAGGCGAGAGCCCGGGTCCTCACCTCACCAGCCATCACTCCTCGAAGGCTCGGGTCCCTTCCCCTCTTCCCCGCGCCCCGCCCCACTCCCGTCCACCCCTCTGAGGCAGGGGTGGGGCTCCCAGTCCCTCCTGCTCTCTGTTGATTCTTCTAAGTGAGAAAACCAAGAAGAACCGAGGTCAATATAGAGCGCAGGGCTCCAAAGCCCTCAGAGACCAGACCCTCGCATGGCGCTCCTCTCCTCGCACAGCTCGGGACACATGCAGTGGTGGGTGACCAGCCGGCCTGCCCTGGCCCCGAGTCCACAGGACCCGTGACCCCATCACACAGCGCCCGCCAGGCCCAGGCGCCCGGGCCCCTCACCCGCCTGAGGCATGAGAGGAGCCCGCAGAGGAGGTACAGAGCGGGCTGGCAGCATGGGCTTCTGGGGCCGGCACCCCCCCTCCTTCCCTACCCCCCCACCTCCCTGCAGCCCCTCACCCCGCCCTCCTGCCCTCAGGAAGGCCAGGCCCCTCTTCTCTGGCACTTCAGAACGATCACAAGGAATTTGCCTTTTTATTCATATAGAACAAAATTTACAAAGTCGTTCACACCGTTTTTGTGGTTTTTTTACTGACTTCGAAAATTGGGAATATTCAAAATACACTTTTACCCCACTCCATTCTGTCATTATTTACAGGTATGTACAAGAAAAACGAGTGCGTGTGTGTGTGTGCGTGTGTGTGTGTGTGTGTGTGTGTGTGTGTGTGTG